AGCAGTCATGGTGTGCAACAGGCACCTCAACTCCACACCAAGTGGCGTTCACTTCCACTCTCTGAAGAGAGCACTGGGCGGAGAGCTTTATATAGATACAGTCTGAATAATCTCTTGTGCATCACCACTGGCCAGAGGCTGATTCACTGTTTATAAAACTGAACTCCTCCTAGATGAAACAGTCTGGAGGATTTCACAGCTTTCTCTCAGTTCAGTGATTTGTGTGTTTGAAAATGAATAAAATAGATTTTACTTTTTTATAGAAATACAAAATTTACACTGTACATTTTACAGACTGGAGTTATTCTGAATGTTAACTCTAATTTAGACCTATTTATTATTAAAACTCACAGTTACCTGTCTAAACTGTCAGGTTTGCTCGGCTGCACCTACTTTCTCACTCCCCTCACTCTGTTTTCACTCCCTTACCCTGATTATGTTATCCTTTACACCTGCTTCTTACCCCCGGATTACCACCAGCTGCACCTGATTAGTTTCTCCGTATTTAGTCCCTGCTCTTCGTTCACTCCCCTGCCAGTTCTTTCTAGCATTTCTCAGGCCCGTTTGTTCCCCGTCGTTCTTTGTGATTCTGTATTAGAAATCTACATAAATTCGAAACACACTCTCAGGTCATTAATACAGTCCAGGGTCAGAGCCAGCAAACTTACACAGCTGAGGGATCCACAAACGAGAGGTCAGAGAGGGGAATCAGATAGTCCATACACAGAAAACAGTCCAAATCAGAAGGACAAGGCAGTACTCGGTGGTCACAAGGTATTCCGGGGTCAAAGCCGGAAAAACAGGCACAAGAAAAACCGCAGGAAAGTTTGACATGGGTTAGAACAATCTGGCAGCTTTCTGGTGGGAGAAAGCTACCTATAAAGTGGTGAAAACAATGAGGGCTAATTAAAGTAACAAATCCGAAACTAAGGTGATACTGAAACAGGAAGATGTCAAAATAAATGCATGAGAACGGAAGTCAACGGGACAGAATCATGACAGTTACAGTAAGTGTACTGTATCACTGTAGGCTGCCCTGCAACATACATATTCAAATAGCCCAGACTGAGGTGAAGAATGTTTTCAATTACTTGGTTATACCTCACACCAGTGTTAATTCGACACCTGAATATGATTTTTTTTTTCCTTTGGACAAAAATGCATATTAGTATTAGTCAAATTTGAGTCTTTTAATGATAATAATCACTTTATTTGACCAAGTATATTATACACAAAAGGAATTTGTCTCTGGTACAGAACCAAGGCAGGCATAGGTGGCACCAAATTACATCGATGGCTGCTCTACCTATGGGGGCAACTTGGGGTTCAGTGTCTTGCCCAAGGTCATTTTGACATGTGGATTGTAGACACTGTGATTCCAAAATCCAGCCTTCCTGTTGGAAGACGACTGATCTACCCCATGAACCAATAAATGCACGTTAGTCTAGTTTGTCATTTTTAAACTGCATTTTTAATATTTACTGTAAACTATATCTTCTTCATCCTGGTCAGTGTTTCCCTTAAAAATATTTCAGGCACGTGGAAAAAAGATGATCGGGGTTTTGCATGCAGGCACTCAAATCTTTGGTTATTTATTTCTCATGCAATGACAGACTATTGACTGGTAATTTATATGTGAAGGTCACATAAATCAAAGAGATTATTAATAAGATGCATTTATTGTATGCTAATAACTATCAAAGCTACCAGTTACTTCACCATTCCAGAAGTTAGAACTAACAATGTTTAAGAAAAATAAAATAAAAAGATTAAATCCACATAATTAAATGTCAAATAATGAAACTATAATCAGCTCTTAAGCTGAAGAAGGCTAAGAATTTAGCCTTTTTTTACTTCAATAATGTGTCACAAAAAAAAGAAGATATTATTGTGTAGAGGCTGACAGGCTCCGCCATTTGGTTCTTGGGGGATTTGGACCTGGAAGTGAAAAGTTATCTCACAGTTAACAAGAATATAGCATATATCATGTAATATAATCAAAGATATGTGTTTAAAAATACACGTCAAGCTTTGGCTTCAAAAAACTAATTTCTATCTAACTATACTGTTACCTTTTTATAAATTCTCTATCATCTAATAATATCACAGCCATTCTTTACAACCAAAGTATGTTGTGTCCATGTCTTAAAAGTGACTTAATATGTCAACCATGCATGCAGCATCACATTATGTCATCTGTCAAGACTGTTTGGATTGTGTACACACTGTTATACTAAGTTCATTTCCAGCATTTGACACCATTGAACCAAAAAAGGATCTTCATACCATACAAGAGACAGTCAGCTCTTCCTACAAAATAGAGAAGACATGTTATAGTTTAGTCCCCCTCACCAGGAGGGTGAGGGAGAACTATGGTGGAACTCAAAACTGCTCACCCAGGTGCTAGTAAAAATGGTGGTTTAATGGTGGGGAACACACACACAAAAAAGGAACAGTCAATTAATACAGTACAAGGACAAACTAACGGCAAGACTAAGGTGAGCAGGAGGATGAGGATGGACAGGTGAATAGACAGGCTAACCATGAGGACGGACGAACGAAAACAGAAATCCACAGCATAGGAACTGTTAGCATGGATAACAAAAGAACGTCTAGCTAACCACATGGAAAAAAACAAACTCAGAGACAACCCACGAGTCACTAATTACAAAAAGGTACCCACAAAAAAAGAGAAAAGCAGGAGAGAGAAAAGAAAGAGAGGCAGGTCACGCCGAGCGGACCTGAGAAGACAGTACTGTGGAGTAGTTTAAGTATCCCGGGGTCTTGTTCATGAGTGAGGAAAAATGGAGCAGCAGGTGGACAGTTGGATCAGTGCGGCCTCCACAGTAATGCGTTCTCTGTACCAGTCCATTGTGGTGAAGATGGAGCTGTGTCGTAAGACAAAGCTCTCAATTTACTGGTTGATCTACATTCCTACCCTCACCTATGGCCATGAACTTTGGATCATGTCCAAAAGGATGAGATTATGGGATGTCCCAATAATTCCCTAAAAAGCCTCCAGTTAATCCAAAATGCTGCAGCCAGAGTACTGACAGGATCTAGCAAGAGAGATCATATCTCTCCCATATTAGCTTCTCTCCACTGGCTCCCTGTAAAATTCAGAATAGAATTTAAAATCCTTCTCCTAACATACAAAGCCCTTAATGACAAGGCTCCATCGTATCTTAAAGACCCCGTAGAGCCTTATCATCCTAACAGAGCACTTCGCTCTCAGAGTGCAGGTTTACTTGTGGTTCCTAGAGTCCACAGAAGCAGAATGGGAGGCAGAGCCTTTAGCTATCAAGCTCCTCTCCTATGGAACCAACTCCCAGTCTCAGTTCGGGAGGCGGACACCCTCTCTACCTTTAAGATTAGACTTAAGACGTTCTTTTTTGATAAAGCTTATAGTTAGGGCTGGATCAGGTGACCCTGAGCCTTCCCTTAGTTATGCTGGTATAGGCCTAGGCTGCTGGGGGGTGCCATGATGCTCTGAGTTTCTCTCCCTTCCCCTCCCCTCCCTTCTCCTCTCCTGTCCTCTCTCTTTATGCCACCATTACACATGACTAACTTTGTGTCTCCTCTCTCCCGTAGTATGTACTCTCTCTCTCCCTGTACCTTTCTGCAGGTTGCCCTGGCCCTGGAGCTCTACGTTTCTGATGAACAGTCACCGGCCGCATCAAGCTGCCCAGTGTTTGATTGTTTGTTGTGTCTT